TGTCGTGTCAGAGTTAGCCACGTTAGCTGTTCCTAATAAGTACCCGGACAAAACGACGCCATTAATCAAGACCTTTCTTCGTGGCGTACGAGAATACCAGACCATTCTGGCGCACCGCCTCGCCAAGCATTCGCTAATAAATGCTTAGCGGTGACATGTGCATCTCTCCAGTCATTCATGTTGCTGCCATTGCAATCAACCCCAACCGGTCCGCGGTGCAAGCAGCACGAATGAATTCACCCCATTTCTTCCCTCGCGATTCACCCCCTGTCAGACTGTTGGGGCGCTCAGCCAATACAACTCTTGCAACGTAATCGTCGACACGGAATCTACCTAACTTGTTTCCATCGTTCCATGTGGGTGGAATAAATAAGACTGACACCTCAACCCTACGACACGAGTGACACAATCGTAATTTAACAATTTAAAAATTGAAGAATTAAAGAAATAATAATATAACACCACAAAGTCGTTATTGTGGGATGTGACGTGCAAGCGGCCGCTAGCGGTTTACGACCGGGCCTCTTTGGGCCCGGGATGGCCTTGCAAAACCGTACCCGTCTGCTTTCGTACCGTTAGCGTTGCAGTATGAGAGTGAGAGAGGGAGAGAGTGGGAAAGCGACTGGGGTTGAGGGTGTCCGAAGGGAAGAACGGGCAGAGTAGATCAGGAAACCGAGCGAGGAAGAGCACTGTAAAGAGCAGCGTAGCGTGTATATTATATAATAAATTACGATTACATATTAGCTTGTTTACGTCAAACCTCCCAATCCCACATTATAAAGGTCTCAATCTCAAGCTCAAGTTTGATTTCAAAGAATGATGTGTCTTTGAACAGGTAAATTAAATTCTTCCATCGTGACAATACAAACGAGAATTAAACATCCTGGAAAACACTCGAGCTCTCTATTACGGCTTCTGTCTCCCCTAATTAAGAATCTCCCCATCTCGAATGCACTACTATTTAGTATACAAAATGTAGCCTCGTGGTAGAGGAGTTATTTAAAAGCAGGGATGCAAGGAAACGTGTTAAACATCCGTAAAACTTCAACTACATCAAAAGTTTGCTGCCCGTGGTCCTGGCTCACCGAGACTCGGGAGAAGAAAGCAGAGAAATTTCTTGAGGGAACAAAACTTCAGGAAGGTTCCAATTTGCGTACGCGAACGAGCGCTGGTCGAACGAAGACGTTTTTATTGTTGCGTTGGAAGCCTTTTGGGATCGAATATGTGTGTTTTTTCACCCCCAATTTGTCGCGACGCGTGCACGTTCGTCGTTGCAACAACCGTGCTATTTCGAGGGGAACGCAATGTTGGAATCCGTAACGCGGTAACGAGAGGCGCGCGACTGCTGTCGCACTGTGTCACGCGAACTAAATTAATTTCGCGATAAGCGACACGGCTACTTGCCGGAGTTACCGCGGATCTAACGAGTGAATGCATTCCGGGCGCAATGTGCGACTACAGTGTCGTTTAATTACATTCATACGGTGTCTAATTGCGGCGCGATAGAATACAGTCGCTGGGAAATCGACTACGATGACACCTGCCCCGAATTACATCTGATCCAGCAATCGTTAAACACTCAAAACTGATCGTAAAATGTGTATTTAGTTTTCATTGTGACAACGAAAAGCCTGAATAATAGAAAAGGTTGGTTCGTTTTGCTGGTTGGTGAAATAATAATTGACGAAATCACAGTTGTATATTCACAAGAATCCATGTATAATACAAAGTAAGACGTGTTCGATGTACAGAGACGTCGACAACACGCACAACACTTGTATAAAAAGCCCAGATAACACCAATAGAATCTCTATGATAGCACAGATGACTTTTAACAGTCTTTTGAGAAAGAAAATAAGCTTATACTGGTGTTGGGCAGTCAAAGAACTTGAATTTTGGAGCAATTTTTGAGTCTAGATGTGGTACGTAAGTTCCCTGTCGACAAATAAAAATGCAAAGTTCTCCCAGCTGGAATTTATCGACCAGGTGGCCACTTCGTCGAACTGGATCGAGAAATCGATTCTTGGTAGTCGATTCGCGTGTCCACTGGTTTGACGTATCCCACCTACCCTTCCGCGACGCTGTGTTCGCTACCAAATTATTGCAGCTCATCGATCATCGAGATTTGACACTTATATGCACCGAAATCTCCTTAACAGTGCCACAGCCCACGTACCGAATATGATCGATTGCTCCTCGTTGTGATTGATCCGCGGCTACCGCGTGGAATACCTAGAGGGTCGAGGAATCGCCAATCTCCTTCGAGACTGGGTCGAAACTCGCGCGAGTCGCTATCGGTTGCGGCCACGACGAAATCTCGATGAGACAGGGAAGTGGGTCGAGTCGCGTCACGACGCCTGTTGATTCGAATATTATCGGAAATCGACGGGAATCGTAAACGTTGCTGGGATTCAAGTGAAATCAAACTTACAAATTTTCACTCTTGCGCGACCAAAACGTTATCGCGAGGCTACCAGAAAAGGTGGTTACTCTATCAGAAGACAAATTAAGAGTGGATTAAGAGGTAGAGTCCTAACAAGTAGTGTTCGGATTACCAGGCACCCAGTTATTCGAATAACTATAATAAAAGGTGGACAAATTTTTCAAGTGAAATTAAAAAATTTTAAATGGTTCTAAAAAAATTATTTTTAGTTAGGAGTGTCAATTAGAATCATTTTTGGTGAATAGACATATCCCCGAATTCCCACGCATTTTCGAGAAAAAAATTAGAGTAAATACAGAAATTTTTGGGCGAAATTAAAAAATTTTAAATTGTTCTAAAAAAATTATTTTTAGCTAGAAGTGTCAATTGCAATCAATTTTGGTGAATAGACATATCCCCGAATTCCTACGAATTTTCGAGAAAAAAATTCCTTACCAAAAATATAATTTCAAGCTTGAAATGTCACTCCAAAATTTCATGCGTATCTTTAAAACGTCATAACTCTTGAAGGGATTGGAGAATTTGAATGTTTAAAAAGGCAAACTACGTGTATTTTAGTGGAGAATATGTACAAATCGCAAAAATATTCGAGAAGTTGTTCCTCATTCTCGTAAAATGACAAAAACCCCATAAAAGTGATCTAATTTTCAAACAACCATAACTCCTACACTAGTGAATATATTTCAATGAAATTTTTTTCTGAGGTAGAGCTCATAGGTTCCTACAAAAAAATACTAAACAACTTTTTCATACAACGTCAAACAAATGTAATAAAAATGAAAACCGAATTTTTAAGAAAAATTGACAGGGTCTATTTTTCGGTGAAAAAAAAATTCAAATCTTTCTAAAAAAAATATTCTTTTCTGCAGGGGTCAATTAAAATCATTTTTGGTCATTACACATGGCCCCTAATTCCTATCCACTTTCGAGAAAAAAATTCATGAAAATGGATAAATTTTTCAACAAAATTAAAAAATTTCAAATCGTTCTGGAAAAATTATTTTTGATTGTGGGGGTCAATGACAAACATTCTTGGTGAATACACATACCCCCGAAATCCTACGCATTTTCATGAAAAAAAATTCTTTACCAGTTTGGCCAATTCTTACCAGAGTTGACTATCAGAACATGCGTAATTTGTTTCCCGAACAGTTGTTATCAGGCAGGTCTGGGAATTCTCGAATCATTTGCAGATAATTGGATCCCACGAACTTGGAATATTTGAATATGAATTGAAAATTAAGTGTGCAAAAGAACGATGAACTTTCAGACAGGTGATCCACTGAACAAAATATTCGAATAATATTCGAATTGGCAATTACCCGAATGGATATCCAAACAGCCAAATCCTCGAAGAGATACAGGAACAAATAATACGAGCTATTTTTATCGAGAATATCGCGCGAGAATTCCGTGGAAGAGACGATCGCTAAAAACAATCTCGAATCGCGCGTTTAATCATGGACGGAACAGTGGATTTTGGAGAAGTGCCTTAAAACGGCACGGCGGGTAAACAAAATCATGGCTTCAGAAACGCGAGCAGAGCTGTGGCTCCTGGAGGTGAGCGAAAATTGCGGTTTCACAGAGGAAAGGTGAAAAACAGCGGTCTGAAAAAAGCGAACGAGACCGGGGTTTCACGGGAGCGAGTAAAATTGAGATGCTGTGCAGAGGCCAGTAAAACTCGGGTTTTAAAGGCACGAAAAATCGTGTCTTTCGAAAACGGGGAAAATGATATCTTGGAAAACGTAAAAGGGATCAAAGAAAAAAAAGAAAACCGAAATATCGAGCATTCTCGTAAAACTATAACGTCGAGATCAGCTTACAAATTAACATTTCGAGGGTTTCAAGCAATCTGGATGTTGGAACATCCGTAACGTTCGACTCATTGATACTGGTGATCAAGTCGCCGATAAGGAAGTGACCGGGCGTAAGGGCGGTAAAATCGTTCGGATCGGATGTTAGTGGTATGAGTGGGCGAGAATTTAGTATGGCTTCAATTTCTGCGAGATATGTGGTCATTGCCTCGTATGTTAGCAGGGTTTTCCCGACGGATCTGAGTAAGTGGCGTTTTACATGCTTGACCGCTGCCTCCCATAATCCACCAAAGTTGGCCGCGCGCGGGGGAATGAAATGCCACGTGATGTTATTATTGATAGCGTAGTGTTGTATGACGCTGTCGGTGATTGAGGCTCTGAAGGAGCTGTGCACTTCGCGTAATTCGCGATCAGCACCGACGAATGACTTCGCATTGTCCGAATAAATATCGGACGACTTTCCCCGTCTCGCGAAAAACATTTTGAGGGCCGCCAAAAATGCATCTGTGGTCAGATCGCCGACCAATTCAAGGTGTACCGCCTTCGTCGAGAAGCACACGAATACGGCTATATATGCCTTTACGGTTTTGGTGTTGCGTACGCGCTTTTCCTTTATAAAAAATGGACGGTTAAAGGTAATGCGGTCTTTGGGTAGGTTGCCCATTTGGTAGTTTGTTATTTTCGGGTTTGCCCGATAGCATGATACGCAGTTACGAATGCACCGTTTCACCGCTTGTATGCCATTAATTGGCCAATAGTTCTGCCGAACCGCGTTTAAGGTGCCTAAGACGCTTGCATGGATGTGCCGCAGGTGCTCGTGGCGAATGATCAGGGCCGTGAGATGGTGTTTTGCCGGTATGAGGATTGGGTGCTTTGCATCGTACGTAGCATCGGATTTGATGATGCGACCCCCCCACGCACAAAATTCCCTTTTCGTCCAAAAACGGGTTTAATGTTCGAAGTTTACCCTTGTATGAATGTGGTGTTTTGATTAGTGATTTGATATCATCGGCAAATTCTGTTTGTTGAACGGATTTTAGGATTCTTTGCCGTGCGAGTTTCAACTCGTCTAAGCTAAGGGGGCCCGTTTGCCTTTGTTTAGTCTTTAAAATATGGTGAAATCGAAGGCAATATGCAATGGTACGTTCTAATCGCCCCAAGGCCGAAAATCTGTTTATGATTGGAATTGTAGGAGCGGCTGTAGCCAGGGACACTACGGTACGGCGCTCCGGCAGCTCGGCAGGTAACAACGCGTTAAACGGCCATTTGTCCTCTGCTTGTCGCAACCATTGAGGACCGGAAAACCAATTATTATTATATCTTAATTCCGACGGCTCTACACCCCGTGATAAGCAATCAGCTGGATTGTCCTGCGACGGAACATGACGCCATTGACCCCCATCCGTTGATTGCTGAATTTCGCTCACACGATTCGCTACGAATACCTTTAAGGTGTGAGGAGGGGTTTTTAGACAGTGTAATACAATCATTGAATCTGTCCAAAAAATTTTCTGTTTTGTTCTTATTTTGAGGGATTTTTCCGCGGCGCTAAATAATTTTGCAAGTAGTACCGCGGCACATAATTCTAGGCGCGGTAAAGATTGTACTTTTAGGGGCGCGACTCTACTTTTTGAGCAGACTAAATACGCGAAGTGATGTCCGGACGTGTTAGTGGAACGCATGTATATACATGCCTCGTACGCTTTCTCACTGGCATCGCAGAACCCGTGTAGTTCCAACTCGATGTGCTTATCGCAGATGATTCTGCGCGGTATTGACAATTCCCGAATGTTTTTCAATTGCGATTCAAAAACTTTCCATTCGGTATGTAACGTTTCTGGAATGGATTCATCCCAGTTCACGCCTACTTGCCAGAGCTTTTGCATCAATATTTTGGCCTTGACGATAATGGGCCCCAACAAACCTAACGGGTCAAAAAGTTGAGCCACGCGTGACAGTATGGCGCGCTTTGTTACCTGCCTAAGGGGCTCATGCCTTTTCACCGTGTAACCGAGCGTGTCGTGTACCTGGCTCCAGTACAGACCAAGCGTTTTTCTAAATTCGTCTGCAATTATGTTTGTACAGTCGCTTTCATTGTAAGCAGTTACGGATTGTAGCAGTTTTACATTGTTTGACGACCATTGTCTTAATTCGAAGCCACCCATTTTTGTTAACTCGATTAGCTGGTCGCGAACTAGCGTAGCCTCCTCTACCGTGTCTGCTCCCGTTAAAAGGTCGTCAACGTAGAAATCAGATTTCAGTACAGTTGCTGCCGGGAAACTGGGCGCCTGCATCATCCGCTAATTGGTGAAGTGATTTGATGGCCAGGTAGGATGCAGACGCGGTGCCGTAGGTTACCGTATTTAGTACGTAGGTGGACATGGGTTCATTTGGATTCTCGCGCCAAAGTATCTTGTGGAAATGCCGATCTTCCGGAGCTAATTTTATTTGGCGGTACAGTTTGGCTATGTCGGCGGTTAAAACGTACTTATGTACTCGGAATCTGGTAACTATTGCGAATAGGTCTTCTTATATGGTGGGACCGATCATTAGCGCGTCGTTTAAGGATACATCCGTGGACGATTTCGCGGATGCATCGAACACCACTCGAATTTTAGAAGTCACGCTATCTTCCTTGTGCACCGCGTGATGCGGAAGATAGTAGCCATTAAATTTGGAACAGAATTTAAGCGGAGTCATGTGTCTCAAGCTCTCGTATTCGCACATGAAGCTAATGTATTGCTCGCGTGCTACGGGATTACGCTGAAGGGCCTTTTCCAGGGATAAAAATCGCTTCATAGCAGTGGCATAGGATTCGCCAAATTGCTCGATTTTACTGTTACACGGCAATCTGACGATGTATCGTCCAGATGCCGAGTCGCGACGCGTGTTAATGGAATAATGCTCTTGGCATGCTTGTTCTTCTTTCGAAAGCAATTTTTCTCGAGGAGTTTCCTCGAGCTCCCAAAATCTGGCCAATTGTTCATCTAGCGAGTTTATTGCCAGATTACAAACTGCCGCCTTGGAATTTTTATGGCTAGTGGTTTCACCAACATCTAGCCACCCTAGTAATGTTTTACGTAGCATGACTGTTGGTTGTGCCAATTTAATTTGGCATACGCTAAGTAGGTGCCAGAATAATTGTGCCCCTAACAGGCCGTCGACGGTTGTGGGTTTATGGAAACTCGGATCGGCCAGCGGTATGTTTTTGGGTAGTTTTAGTGCTTGTAAATTTATGGCGTCGTGTGGTAAAGGTAGGGTAATTTGCTTAGCAATTAAGAATTTTATCTGGGCGTTGAAATTAGTAGTGCGCGACTGTATACGAGCTGTTATATATTCCGTTATTTCCGATTGCATGTTATTCATACCGGTGACCGGAATTTGAGTTTGAGAGAAGGGCAGATTGAGTCTCTTGGCAAATTGTCGGGTTATAAAATTTGATTGTGCGCAGGAGTCCAGGAGAACTCGGCAGCGATGCGGTTGCCGATTCTCATCTATAATTTCGATGACGGCAGTGGATAATATTATGGTAATATGGTTATCATAGATAAGAAAGTGAACTTTATTTGTATGTCGTGGCCTAGTGTTTATTTTTGTAAGTGAGCATGGCGATGTATCTAGAGAATATGTGTTTCATGGTCGAGAGCGTGAGCGACCGAACGTTGTGCCTAACAGGCAGTACGAATCAAGGATCGAGAGAGAGAGTATTAAAACAAATGTGAGCTGGAACACGTGTCTCACTGAGAGAACAAAGAGGAAAAATCGTACTCGATTTTATCAGCGGGTTTTATTGTTCGTATCTTTTGTATAGTGTCGTCGTTGTTTAAATAAATACATTTTTGTCCATTTTACTCACAAATTGGTAGCAGAGCTCCGTGGTTCCTTGTGCGAAAAATAAAAAATTATGGCGGATACATGGAACACAGTGAACGTTGAACTGCTCCATGGCTCAAATTATTTTCTTTGGAGTGAGAAAGTGGAAGGTATCTTGAGATCGAAAAGGCTCTGGAAAAGGGTAATCGGTGTCAAACCAATTGAGAAACCAGTTGAAGGGAGCAATCAATATGAAAATAAGTGGAAAGAATGGAACGAATGGGATGATAATAATTATGCCGCAAGAACGATAATGATTAATACTATGAGTAAGGCACAATTACTTAAATATAGCCATGAAAAGAGTGCGGACAAATTGTGGACAATGATCAAACTGGATATGGCTGCGGGAACTGAAGAAATAAAAACTAGAGTTCTTAACGAACTGACAAATTTAAAAATGGGTAAAGACGAAACCGTTGACGCGTTCATAAACAGAGCGGAGGCATTGAGGAACCAATGTAAACAGCTCGGGAAGGACATCGAAGAATACGAATTAAAGATGTATACAGGGTGAGGCATTTTAAACAGGTCACCTGAATAACTCGCTTGTTTTTGAAGATAGGAGAAAATGCATTAGACCAAACTTATTTGGTATCGGGGGGCTCATAATCTGGTATTACCAATTTTTTTGTAGGTGGAGGCGTCAAGGAGATATGAAGGTCAACTTTGTTTTTTTAAATGGAACAGTATATTTTATTACTTACATTCTGATAGAGTGTTTCAAGGCGAATACAATGACCTATTATTAAGGTCATTCAAGGTCACCCAAAGTCAACTGCAATAGAAAATAAATTGTGTCAAAGCACTCTTCGAACACTTGGATACTTTGATACTGCTATTACAAGTGTTCAAAATGGCGACCTTGAACATGGATACATAGTCTAAATCGTTGCAATACTGATGACACTGCCTGGCAAATTTCATTTGTATCTATTACAGAGCAAGCTCTTCTTATACGTTCTTGCATGTCAAGTTTGGTAGTTGGTTTTTCGCGGTACACTTCTGCCTTTAATTTTCCCCACAAATAAAAATCGAGAGGTGTCAGGTCTGGGGATCGTGCCGGCCATTTGTTACTTCCTGATCGACCTACCCAAGAATCTCCAAATTTTCTATTTAGAAATTCTGTAACATTGCGTGCTGAATGAGCAGGGCATCCGTCTTGCTGGAACCACATGGATTGTCGTATGTCCAGTGAAGTGTCTTCTAACAATTCTGGCAAAACGTCTTCTAAGATTCTCAGGTACTTACTACTATTTAGCGTGCCATCAATAAAATATGGACCAATTATTTTATTATGAAGAAGACCGCACCAGACGTTTACAGACCAAGGTCTCTGTTTGTCGACTTCTCTCAACCATCGTGGATTATCTACCGACCAGTAGTGCATGTTGTGACGGTTAATTGCTCCATGGTTTGTAAATGTGGCCTCATCGGTAAATAACAATTTACTCAAGAACATTTCATCGTCTTGTAGTTTTTGTAAGCCCCATTCACAAAATTGTAAACGTTTTGTATAATCATTTTCAGTTAATTGTTGATGAAGTGATATGTGGAACGGATGAAATTTGTTAATGTGTAATATTCGTAAAATACTTCGTTGACTGATGCCACTTTCGCGTTCCAGTTGTCTTGTACTAACATGTGGATCTTGTATTACAGCTGCTACAATATTTATCGAGTTTCCATCATCAGTTGCTCGTTTGGCAAGATTACGTGTTTTGTTATCCACAGTTCCAGTTTCTTGGAACTTTTTTATAATGTTTGTAAAGACAGAAAGTGAAGGTCTATTATTACGATCGGGAAATCTTTCACTATACACACGTACCGCTTCCCTCATAATTCTATGACATTCACCATAAATAAGAACCATTTCTACTTTCTCTGCTATCGTGTAACGCATTTTAGAAAACTAAACACTTAGACTGAATAAATGTTACGAAGCTGTGCTCTAGTCGGTAGTAAAATTACCAATAATGTTTGAGGATACGGATAAGCGTACAATGTGATTGAATGTTTGTTTATCTTTTGTGACCCGTGTCACGCAATACACACACGTGATACACAAGTATTCGAAATGTACTCTGACACAATTTATTTTCTATTGCAGTTGACTTTGGGTGACCTTGAATGACCTTAATAATAGGTCATTGTATTCGCCTTGAAACACTCTATCAGAATGTAAGTAATAAAATATACTGTTCCATTTAAAAAAACAAAGTTGACCTTCATATCTCCTTGACGCCTCCACCTACAAAAAAATTGGTAATACCAGATTATGAGCCCCCCGATACCAAATAAGTTTGGTCTAATGCATTTTCTCCTATCTTCAAAAACAAGCGAGTTATTCAGGTGACCTGTTTAAAATGCCTCACCCTGTATATTAAGAGGACTCCGTCTCGAATTTGATCCAAATGTACGAGTTCTAGAAACGCAAAGAAATTTATTTATATTTGACATAAGATTTGCTCTAAACCAAGAGATGCAGAGAAGAGAAAGAAGAAAAGAAGAACGGACATCCAGAGATCGCGAAGCGGTGCGAATAGTAAAAGAAGGCCCTAAGAGTGACATTTATTGTTACAACTGCGGAATAAAAGGACATATGGCGGCAGAATGCTATAAAAAGAAACGATGCTTCAATTGTTAACGCTTCGATCATATTGCGTCGGAGTGTCGCGAACCAAGGAGGAATCCACCGCCTGCGAAAAAGGAGAAGGGAAGAAATTTTCAAAGAGGAACTTACGAAAGATACACGAAACATCACTCTGGAAGAAATGAAGTGGCGCTAAGAACCAATAATGAAGCCGTGATAAGAGTGAAAGAAATTTCGAACGTGGACAAACTGTGTGAGGTGAGTGAGTGTACCGAGCGAGAAATGAGTAAGAATGAGAATGATTCCTGTTGTACATGGTTGTTAGACTCTGGAGCGACGAGTCACATGACTAATAATGAATGTATTTTTAAGAATTCAATTCAAGAAAAAAGACAAATAAATTTAGCGGACAAAGATGGTAAGATATTAACATCGAAAAGTGTTGGCGATGTGACTGTACGACAATCTTCGAGTGAAAATTCTTTGCGATTTAAAAATGTATTATGCGTGCCTGAATTGAATTCTAATCTTCTTTCAGTTGCCAAAATAACCGATAGAGGATACAATGTTAACTTGAATAGACTCGGAGCGATCGTATACAAACAGCCGAATAAAATAGAAATGACAGGGGTAAGGGTTGAAGATTCATATTATGTAAAAACTTTTTTAGACCACGAGAGAACTGCAGCAGTAATAGAGGAAAGTGATGTATGGCACAAGAGGCTAGGTCACGCAAGTAAAGCAATTATCGAAGAAATGAAGAAAGAAAATTTAGTGTTGGGGATGACAAATAACTGGAAAAATGAATGTGAGCCCTGCATCGAAGGAAAGAATTCCCAAAAGTCCCATCGAAGGCTTGAAGGAAGAAGGACAAATCGAATAATGGAGCTATGGCATACTGATTTGATAGGTCCCATTAAACCACCTACATTTGGTAATAAAAATTACATATTGACAGTAGTTGATGATTATTCCAGGATGATTTTTATACAGTTATTAAGAGAAAAAAGTGAAGCCGCGGAAGAATTAACAAAATTGATAACCTTAAAAGAAAACCAAACTGAATTGAAATTAAAAAGGATCAGATGAGATAATGGTGGAGTGTATCTGTGTAAAAATTTAAAAAAACGATTCGAAGCTAAAGGTATAGTACATGAATTAAGTCCTCCTATAACCCCACAATGTAATGGAATTGCAGAAAGAGCAAATCGAACTGTAATTGAGACAACAAGGACTGTTGTATGACTAACTCATAAGCCAACATAGATACCGCACTAGAATCATCCTTACACAAACATCCCAGTCATAGGTTCCAAACTCCAGCCTTTCTAGCCTCCTGTACCCGGTTACTCATTCCGTACGCCACAATTGTCACCCTCAAATATATAAACGACGCACATTTTTGGACTCAGGTCAGATCTCTGTAGTTTGTACTAACGTGCGGAACTTGCCGTAACGATCGAATAAAACCACCAGTCTCTCTAGTAAAGTGTTGTTCTTAATCCCGCAACCCGGGATCCAACAGGACAATGCTAGCAGATTCTAAACTCGATTTGAAATTTTTGGGAGAAGCAGCAAATACGGCCGCCTATATAAGAAACAGGGTGAAGTCACGGGTCCATGGAAAAACTCCGTATGAAATTTGGTACAATAAACCTCCGAACATACAACATATGAGAAGATTCGGTTGTGCAGCGTACGCGCTAAGGAAAGGAGGGATTAAAAGAAAATTTGAATCGAAAACAATAAGAGGAATTTTCATGGGGTACAATAATGGTGGTACTTATCGTGTGTACATTATTGAAACCGGAAATATCAAAAGCGACTGCGATGTGAAATTTTACGAAGAGAAGAATGGTTCGGACCTATTGCATTGTGAAGAAAAAGAAAATAATGAAGA